GTTCAAGTGTTTTCGTAGCAGGCAGCAACAGGAAAGCCAAATCAAGCAGAAAGGTCGACCGAACAGATAATAATGATCTCCTGTCACAGCTGTAACCACACAACCACCTATTTGTGCCCGCACAAACCTCAGAGGATCACTGAAATATAACCGCACCTGTTGGAGGACGTGTTCGGATACTGTTCACGCATTGATTACTTAAAGCCTGTATTTGCACCCAAATGAACGTAAGAAAACTGCAACTGGTACGCCTTCACGACTTCTGCTTTGTGATGAAAACTCTTAGGTCGTTATAAAAAGGAACTGATTAGATGGTTGTCAGACTAGGATAACGTCACTCATCTTGAAGGAGCCTGATGCCATCTCTAGTTCTGCTATAAAGAATATAACTAACCCTCAGAAAAGTTTAATATGGGTTGATGCAGCTCACCAACTTCATTCGAATATAAATGTGCGTCTGTAAACGCACTCCTACAAATCCCAAGCACAATGAGGAGTTCAAAGGCTATTACTCTTTGCTGGTAAAGGGCTGTGGGCGCATATGCAACAACAGAGAGTGATTTGGATTTTTCATGGGAAGCGTTATGAAAAAGAAAATGGTTAGTCTGGTTACAGTGGAGAAGCATGGGTGTCTACAACTAACTCCTGGAGCAGACGACTGGAAAGATGATCTGGAGACTTCGACAAACAGATCAATTTGCTCACGGCTAGCCTACGGTTGCTGGCTATCAGGTTACATCGTGGTTGCAACGCTGAAATATGACTTTTAACTCTTACAAACGTTGAGAAGACTGTAAGTAACAAGTGAAGCGCATGAATGCCTAGCCGACGGCGCACATTCAGTCGCACTTGGTCGGATAGGTTGCGTTGCTGGTGATTTTGATGGCTATGGTATCTCGAGTTCATTTGTCGGACAGTGGACTTCCTCGTGGTCCTTGCTGATACGCGGATATCAACCTGCGAACCGACTCACCGTCTTTCCATCCAGTGCTAGGGTTTCAAAGTGAGGAAACCTACCTAGCGTGGGTAGTGGCGGAGCTACTCTTTTGTTTGTAAATACTCTGGGGGTGCCGAACCTGCTTGCTCGGGCACATGAAGAGTGCGCTTTGTCAAGTGACAGAAGTGTGCAAATGCACGCAGGGCATGATGAAGGTTCGTGATCTCTCTCGAGAAGGATCCGGTTGGCCGGCGTGCTTACCTACCTATATCTATGATATAGGTTGCAGGTAAGTGATGAGGTCCACCCTGGTGACTGTACCAGCAGTCGTTATCGAACAATCAAAGTGATGAAGCTTTTACCATCCCTCCTGACTGGGGAATGGGTCTTCTGAAGCAGTTGCTGATTGACCCCTGAACCTGGTTGGTTGTCTGCTAACACCACACAAATAGAAAGGGCTGAAACGCCTGGGTATCACCTCGCTAACCGAGGTGAGAGAAGGATTGGTATTATTCGAGCGATGGGTGTGAGATGCGGCTGTCCTTAGTGAGACAGCCTAGGCCGGGCACTAAATGCTGTCCCAGATGAGGAGGTCCGGGTAGATAACCGGTACTTTGGGACCTTCTCCGTTAGTTGGAGTCCATCGCCTGATGTGTGCACCGTTTGCATGCATATGTGCCCAGTTGGAAGCCGACCTATTGGCAGGTGACGTTGAATTAACCCTAAATAGGTAAGGCTTATGAAATTGGACTACCAGGGTCAGATGGGCTAGTACCAGAAATATTTTTGGGCGGTTCCCGAGGACAATTGGTTAAACTAGCGTTAGTTGGCATATGCGAGTCTGATGGGATCACTCCTGACTGGTTTTCCTAGTTCTTAAGAAGTGAGCTAAATTATTTTGTTGTAACCGCAGAGGAACTTTATAAACAGTCACTTCACAAAATAGTGAAGCCTTCCCAAGTTGCATGAATGTTTATAAAGGATATTTACCGATCTTGAGCGTTATTGGCCTGTCAGTAAAGATGGATTTGGCTTCTTCTCTATCATTAGTTGACCAATAATAACTTTTAATCACTTGATCCAATGTCTGAATATTGTTTTTCTCGATTGATCTGTTTCCAGTAGTCCGTTTATTGAGTCAATGTCCACTTGCCTGTTGATATCCATTTGATTGGAGTGTCATATCTCCAGGAATTCTCTTTCAGTTTCTGAGCCAGCTTGTTCTAATCGCAGTTTTGGTTGTGTTCATCTACATGGATCGATATCAACAATGATATATCATGTCGTTTGACTGCAAGCTGATGCTATTCGACAGTTTGATTGACTAGTATAGTGGCGTGGACAGTCCTTACAACTAACTTTGTAGACTACATTGATCTTGTCTTCTTTGGGTAATGGATCCTTTAGCTTGCATTATATGTCCTGCAACGATTTGGTTGGTTTGTGCCCAACAGTAACGCCGAATGGACGAAGTAATTGGTTGATAGTTTCTGGGACATCTTTGATGCATGTATGGTAAAGCGATTCATTTTGTAGGTTGAGGTAGTTTTCTTAATGCGTATCCTGTTGATAAGCATTTCTTGATGAGTTGACTTGATAGTCATCGACTCTGAACACTTTGACGAAGTGGTTTTGTTCTGGCTTCGGGAGTTGCTGAGTGCTGCAATGAGTCTTGACATGTGCGAATAGTGTTTGTACACATCTCTCCTCGTTGGACGTTAGGTTGTTACTGTTGTGGTTTAAAACTTGATCTGTGTGTGTGTGTGTGTTTGTGTCACTTTCGAGTAGTCTTGAATCTGTAGTTTTTATCATATCCCCTCCTGATATGCACATCTAGGAACGGGATTTCATTATTTTCCTCTTCTTCTTCTTTTGTGGATTGGAATGCCTTCTAAGGTTTGGTTTGGTGCGATTGAACGTGTTTTGTCGTCCGCATGTTTTGACAATTGCAGTGTTTACGACGTAACGAATATAGAGTTCTGGTCTGATTATTGGAATGACTATTGACTCTAATCTCTGCATTACTGCTCCATTAATCATTCCGGATATTGGTGGGCTCATGGCAGTTCCTTTGCTTTGTTTGTAGATCCTTTCTGTACACTGAAAGTACGTCGTGAGACATAGGTCGATTAGTTCGACCAAGTTTCGGAGCAGCAATTTTTGTATACTTCTAAAAATTCCGGTTATTGTTGAGAAGGATACTTATTGATTTTGTGGTGAGATCTGGGTTGATTGATGTGAGAAGTGTAGTCTACATCTGTTGATGTTGACTAAAACCTCTGGTTGTCGTCATCAGAGGACACCACTTTGTCAGCGTCTTTCTTCTGGTTTTTAATTTTCTGCAGCCGTCGACTGAGATAAATGGGTGAATCTAATAAATGCTGTATCCTTAAACATTCGTGGATATGTAAAAGCCTTTAGTGAGTTGTTCACATCGAGTGGTATCCGTTTCGGGGATCTACGTCATTTCTGATTTACTTTATCACTAACGCACTCACTGACGTTTTCCTCTTCTCTTCACAGAGATCCTTCACATCACTGAGGACTCCTTAGTGGACCAAGAGTAAGCGGAAAATATACTCCTTTTAGATGCATGGTCTTCTGGATATGTTGAGTGAAAACTGAAGGAAATTGGGACATTTTTCACTCCCCATGAGGATCGCAATTTTTTATTGCTGTGTCTAACTATGAGGATTTGCATCGTGGGACTCGTTAATCACCTCACGCAGGAGGTTGGATCAGCCCTGACGGTTCGGCGACCAATTAAATTCCAGCCGGGATACCAAATACCCTTCTGGTGTTTTGCCTACCGACATCTTCTTTGGTGCTGGCGTCATATCTGATTGCCACTTAATAGCCGAATGTACTACGTAATGGTTCACTTCCTTCAAATGTGGATGACTTCAAAACATGGTGATTACATCAGAGGAAATAAAAAAGATCCGTGATTTTGACCACTGTTGTCTCCGTAGCATTACAAGCATGTAGTAGGATCACCACATGAGGAATGCAACGAGAAGCCCCTGGTATGGCTGAGAATGGGATAATCCCGGCCTTTCTATCGAACTACTCTCATAAGATCATGCGTTCACAGCCTCCGCCAGAGGAGTCCTACTCACTATCTAAATGTGACGGTGTGTCTGTAAGAGTGATAGGATAAAAGTGGATATCCGACGCTTATAACCGGGTCGGTGGACACAGAGGATACACTTAAAGGAGTTAGAAAACCCTAGTTCAGTATTAGTTGTTTATGTTAACTTCAAGATTTAGAACCGATAAATGGCGTATTATCTTACCTTGGTGACTGGCAAACGCCCCACTTTGCTGTGCTGCCACATTATTTAAACTTCAAGTCAAAAGCTGGTGGAGTGGTCCTTAAAACAACCACCTGCTTCTGTCTGGACATCTGTACACTATAACTGTCCACATACAAATTATGAATCAGTATAAACAATGCAGTACACAAGGCGTTTGCTGAGTTGTTTTGTGGTGAACTTCCTACTCTATTCAATCTATTATCCTTAAGTGGTCATAATTTCTACATCTAAACTTTACTATATCTTTAGTACCATTTTCAAATTTTTCAATGATGTGTACTGTGGTTTCACTCAGCGACTTCTCACCGACTAGAATTCTGCTCAGTTTGCAGTCTTCTACGTTGGCGAATAGTTGCTTCCATAAAGCTATCGTTCAGTGGCATATCCAATACAACTAGTTCTGAAATCGCACGCACCCCTCACGCTGACCACCTTCAACTTTCTGACTTTAACACAGATCAGACAACATACGGATTCGGCTAGGACTCGTAAAATCCTCGTTATTGATAAATAAATTAATATCTTTATTCTCAAGTTATTAAGTTAACATTGTTGTATGCTGTATCTTGGAGACATACATATATCGACTTTCAAATAGTATACCACGATTTTGAATCCCGCTTCATCTACAGAAGTCGGGGTAGCTAGATGGTATTTACAAGTCTTCATGTACGTGTTGTAGTTGATTATATGGTGCACTTTGGTTGGTGAGCATATTCATGTAATTTATTTTACTTATATTTTAGAATTATGCAGGTGATCGTGCACAGATATGCTTAACAGTATTATCTGGTTCGATAACTTTCCTGAGCTCGTGGCCGTTAGTTTACAACTGTGTGTCATTTGAATACAAATGCATCCTTCTCTGTGCACTAGTAGCATCTACATTATGTCTAAACTTCGTGGGACCATGGTATTTATTAAAAATGCAGAAAATTAAAAGGTTAGTATTTTCTAAATTGCGTTGTATTGTGTAAGAGATACTTTAAGCCTACCGTAACGCTTCAAATTTGGTTTTTTTTTCGTTGCATGAATTTGACAGTGTTTCGGGAAACGGATGAGACATGCGAGTTATTCATGAGTTCAACAGTATTGACTGAGAAATTTGGCAGAAGGAAAAAGCCAGTCAAAACTGATGCAAACATCTGAGACTGGATTAAAATGGTTATCGGATTATAAAGAGCGATAACTCGTGAACGTAATGAAAAAAATTTAGTTGTCACATAATCCTCATACCAACTGATGAATTCTACCAAGGAGCTCCAATTTTAATGTAATGTAGTGTATGACGTTACACAGTTGTCCAGACCATTTGTATGATGACTACAAAATCTGAAGTCAGTAGGTTGTAGCTTCGGTTAGTCCCACTTAGTTTTATGACCTTTCTGAAATTTCGTGCTTAACTTGGACAACATTACGTTGTAAGGTAAGCCGTCTACAACGAATTACGCCCTTGTCTTCATTAGTGCACGAATGACGATGGACTCTATGATAAGACTTTGATATGATGACAAATCCAATCTTCTGAACATCAATATTCGTTTTTAAACAGTTGAAATAAAACAGCCTCCATCTACACTTCAACCACCCTTCTTTCCAACATAAATCAAGCACTACTGTCAAGGCTGAAAAACCATATTTTTACTGGTTTTACCGAAGATTGACAATATAAATCACTTGATCTTCATAAAGTTGTGTGTATGAGGTTATCAGTGGGACAGAAAAAGACTACCACAAACTTTTATAAAAAGTTTGAAAAGTCTTACGAGTTAAGAAAATGAAAACTTTAAAGTCGATCACCAAGAAGGAATATGATAAGTGCAAGATATTCAATACACACTTTAAAATGCCAAACGAAAATCAACGAAAAAAGCAGTTTATATCTACTATATAAATGAGGCTACTACAATGGAAAATTTTGAGTCAAATTTATATTCGCAAAAAACTACTAACATCCTATTACCATAGCAGCCTGTCACCAATATAATGTCTTCGATAAATTAGAGTTCATTCATTTACGCAGTGAATTCAATAGCGTATTACTTTTTTTGAATTTAACGTTATCATTACTAATAATCCGAAACAAGTTTCAATTTGGAAAAGCATTCGATAGGGTATCGTATGCAGTTACAGAAACAGCCTACTGGACGGCCAAAGCAGCTTAGGAAGTGCTACAGAACTGCATCATCTCAAGTTATCAGATTTCACAACAGCGTCGAAACAAAAGGTAGACAGAAAAAGAATGATAGTCAAATAGGTAAATGTGTATGAAATGAGGGGAAATAAATCGGTGAAAGGTTATCAAAATGGTCAAGGCTGGAAATTATAAACAAGGCACACACCTGCGTCATTATGACCGATTTTTACCATGTCACCAATAGTCTCCAAACATTGATTCCTACTATTTCGAGGATCCCAACCAAGCAGTACACACCACCCTACACCGCCTAGACCATCTATCGAAGACTGGTGCCACACCTTGGTCTGATTATCATGAGGCTTCTTCCAACCTAACCTCGCCTGGTTAACTAGTTTACTAGTTACTAGCCGGTCCTAAGCCCGGGTAAAGAGGGAAGGTTGGGCATAGGGCTAGCAACCCTACCCCGTAAAACAAATCTAACCGCTAAAGAAACTTCAAAGCACAAACAAAATATAAAAAATGAAAACAAACTTATTCCCCGCTGGAATCGGAGAGGCGAAATGACGCCAGTTGGTGAAAGCCTTCGGGAAGCCAATTGGCCGATGTGTCTTCTCTCGATGAAAGCGAAAGTAAACGTGGGGACATGGAATGTCCGCACGATGTTTGAACCCAGTAAGGCAGCCCAGATTGCAAAGGAGATGAGAAGGTATCACATCGAAGTGCTTGGGATTTGCGAAAGCAGATGGAATGGGAGTGGACTCTCCAAACTGTCAACTGGAGAATCAATAATCTACTCCGGTCACCCAGACGCCAACCACGAGCACACTGAGGGAGTGGCTATCATGATGTCCTCAAGAGCATCGAAGGCTCTCATGCAGTGGGAACCAATCTCCTCCAGGATCATGACAGCAAGATTCAACTCAAAAGGAAGAAAGGTCACAATCATACAATGTTATGCACCTACAAATAATGCAGAGCAAGAGAAAAAGGAGGATTTCTACAGACAACTTCAATCAACACTGGACAAGAACGTCAGTTGGCGATATCAAAATTCTAATGGGTGACATGAATGCCAAACTGGGAGGGGACAACACGGGAAGAGAACTAACCATGGGTCGAGAGGCGCTAGGTGAAATGAATGAGAATGGAGAATTGTTTGCAGAATTCTGTGCATTCAACGATTTGGTGATTGGAGGCAGTGTGTTCAGGCACAAGGATATCCACAAAGCGACATGGATTTCACCAGATGGACACACTAAAAATCAAATCGACTTTATCTCAATCTCAAGAAAATGGAGACGCAGTCTACTTAACACAAGGTCAAGAAGAGGAGCAGATGTAGGTTCAGACCACTACCTAGTGCAAGGAACCTTCCAAATCAAGTTAAAAGCCTTCAAGGAAGCTGGTGATAGACCTCAATTCAAGTACAACACTCGGAAACTGAAGGATGAAACTACAAAGGAGATCTTCAAGGCAGCCATCAAGACAAAATGGGAGACGTCGAGGGACATCCCTGAAGAAACCTGTGTGGAAGAACACTGGAAGTCTTTGAAAGCTATGTGGAAAGAAACCTGCACAACAGTATTAGGAAGGAAGAAGGAAGACAAGGAATGGATCTCGACGGATACCTGGAAGCTGATAGAGGAGAGGAGGATGGTGAAGCAGAAGATAAACCAGTGCAAGGATGCTCAACGACAAGAGGAACTGAGCACAATGTATAAAACACTGGACAAAGAAGTGAAGAAGAGTGCACGCAAAGACAAAAGACACTTCTACGAAACACTGGCAAGTGAAGCAGAACAGGCTGCAGGTAAGAGAGACCTGACGACATTGTATCAAATAACCAGGTTGCTATCAGGGAAGAGACCAACACAGATGAAACCAATAAAAGATGAAGAAGGAAATTTAATTACAAAAGAAGAGAAACAGAGGAAACGATGGGCCGACCACTTCAAGAAGCTCTTGAATCGACCACCACCTGCACTTCGTCCAGAAATACCACCTGCAGCCGCTGAATTACAAGTGAACATAAATCCCCCAACGAAAATGGAAGTCCTGAACGCCATAAAGCTACTGAAATGCGGGAAAGCAGCAGGACCAGATGGAATACCGCCAGAAGCACTGAGAACAGATGCAGAGACAACAGCGGACATGCTCACACCACTATTGCAGAAGGTGTGGAAGGAAGAGAAGGTACCTGACGATTGGAAGAAGGGTTACCTTGTCAAACTGCCGAAGAAGGGAGACCTCAGTGCTTGCAAGAACTGGCGCGGAATCACTCTCCTGTCCACCCCAAGTAAAATATTAAGCCGCATCATCCTGGAGAGGCTTAAAGATGCACTGGATTCAAAACTGCGACCGGAACAGGCAGGCTTCAGGAAGTACAAATCATGTGCAGACCAAATTGCAACGCTTCGTATCATCATAGAACAGAGCATAGAATGGCAATCAGCTCTCTGCCTCAACTTCATCGACTTTGAGAAGGCCTTTGACAGCGTCGACCGAGAAGTAATTTGGAAACTGCTTCAATACTACGGAGTACCGCAAACCTTTATCCGCCTCATTCAACAACTATATGAAGATGCCACATGCCAAGTAATCCACAATGGGAAGCTCAGTGATGCCTTTGAAGTGAAGACAGGAGTGAAACAAGGTTGCCTACTATCCCCCATGATATTCCTTATTGTGGTGGACTGGATCATGCAGCAAACAGTAGGCAGCGAGAAGAGGGGGATACACTGGACGACGGAAAAGAACCTAGAAGACTTGGATTTCGCCGATGACTTATGCCTAATGTCACACAAACTTGAAGATCTGCAGGCAAAAACTAACAAGTTGATAGAAGAGGCAGCTAAGACGGGACTTCAGGTGAATATAGAGAAGACAGAAGTGATGAAGATACCGCACCACCACCATCAACAACAACAACAAACTCCAATCACCGTCAACGGGAGAAACTTGAAGGAAGTAACCTCCTTCACTTATCTAGGAAGCACTGTTTCAACTACAGGCGGGACGGACGAGGACGTCAAAGTCAGAATCGGAAAAGCAAGACAGGCGTTCATTAGCCTGAAACCAGTGTGGAGATCTTCTGCACTCAGCATGCGGAACAAGATACGGATTTTCAACACCAACGTCAAGTCAGTGCTCTTGTATGGCTCAGAGACTTGGCGCGTCACGAAAGGCATTTCCAATAAACTACAGACATTCATCAACAACTGCTTACGCTCGCTGCTGAAGATCAGATGGCCAGAAAAAATAAGCAACAAGGAACTCTGGGAACGAACCAACCAAGAACCTATCACGCAACAAATATGCAGGAAGAAGTGGAGATGGATTGGCCATGCACTGAGAAGGCCGACTGAGGACATCACGCGTCAGGCCCTCGAGTGGAATCCCCATGGGAAGCGACGAGTTGGACGTCCGAGGGTGACATGGAGGAGGTCATGCGAGGAGGAAATGAGAGCTTCTGGGCTGTCGTGGAACCAGGTTCAAAAGATCTCAGAGAACAGAGGTCACTGGAGGCGTGCTACTGAAGCCCTATGTTCCACTAGGAACCCAAGGGACTAATAATAATAATAATAATAATAATAATAATAATAATAATAATAATAATAATAATAATAATTCTTCCAACCTAATTTTAACTCGGTGAACGTTGCATATCGAGGTAGATGATAGTTTGGCATAAACAACATGTGTCCAAGCCAGCTCAGTTACTGAAGATTTACAACGTCATCGACCGAACCACCTTTCTTGTCTATTTTCTATCGTTCAACGTCTACACTGCTAACACAACGATTCCACCACACGTGGACAATGCTGAGAAGACATTTG